ACAAGGGTACTTCGGAGCTCGTGGGCCAGGGTTGGGCTGAATGTCTCCACCCCGTAGTATAAGAAGAAGAATATATAACACAGTAGCCTTTGGTTTCCTTAAAAGGATCCAATAACAACCCAGAACATTTCCAGAGCACCAAACCGCCATTTTGAATGAACCATGCACAACGTGGTCACACAGCTGTTCAAACGGCCCTGTTCAAAAGCTTCTAATTTAATTACAAAGACAACTTTCAAAACTCTTAACTCTGTCTTTCTATTACACGTTTACAAATTTAAACAAAAACAGTTCTGAATGAAGTTTCCAAACTTTTTGCCGTGTTTATTTCGACGATCTGAACCTTTGAGTTTCCAGCCTTGTTTACGCGAGGTTTGGGAGGGAACATCAGAGGGATTTAATTATGCACACGTGCACATTCCAACAGGTGGTTATGAACCACGCCGAGAAAAACAAAACAGTTTCTCAAGTTATCGTATTGCTTTTTACAAATATGAACTCACAACGTTGTATGATTGACAAATGAGACCTACACATCCATTTAACGTACACCATGAACGGAAGAAAACGCGGCAAAATTGACTCTTTCAAAACCGGTCTCAACCCAGGAATGGTCGCTCAAATGTTACAGAAATACACAATTTTTACTAAACAGACAAATTGTTGAATATGACATGTTCATACTCGGGTGCTAAACAATAACGTCAGCCAAATAGTTTGTTGCTTACCTGTACGAAAAAGCGAAGTCATCTCCAAACCGCGCACTTCTTCCTGGCTATCTCGCCATTTTGTTGTCTTCCCCAAAGTTCTTCAGGTCAGGAAATCCGCATTTTCTCCTCCCAACACCACGAAAATGGCGATAAATGTACTTCAAAACTTCCCATATATCTACCATGTTGTTTAGAGAGACATTCTGTCAACAAAAACTTGAAAAGTACTCGGAAAACTGTACAAATATAACACCCCTGTGCTTTCCCGTCGTAGCAAAGCACCAATTTGAACGAACCACGTGTTTTCTTTACACAGGTGTTCTAAATGGCCATATCTAATTATTTGTAATATAAAGCTGCTAATCTGATTAGGAAGACAACTTCGACCATTACTAGACATTTCACAACAAATTTCCTCTTTTGTATTGTAATGCTACTTTTCTTTCTGCCCACTAAGTATACACGGCTTAGCCGCTACCTACTCTTTTCGTCACTCTATCTGCACCTTTAAGTCATTGTCAACGCCCAACTTCCAAATAAACGGGCTGCACCTGGCCGTGTCACGGTGGTCCTAAAGCGCCGCCCAGTGAAGTGTGATTACACTGCAAGCACCGGCTTCAATCCGACGTACGTACACGGTCTAGCTGCATCTGTCCATGGCCATTACCGTGCAAAAGGTACCTCAGCTCAGGAGAAACGTGTCTAGCAGCGAAGCATGAGATGATTATGGGATGAATATACAAGCTCTAAATGAAGAAAAGGTCATGCTCCCACGGCCACATGTGCACAGATCAGTTATGGTGGATGATATCCAGTGGTTGCAGTACCGTCACCCTTCACTGGGCGGCGCTAAATTGACACCGGGTCACGATCAGGTGCAGTTCGATCATGGCATTGGAAGGTGAGGCCAGTGGCTGCAGTACATTCATCCGTCACTGGGCGGCGCTAAAAAACGGCATTCCGTGGTAGAATGAATACCTTCCACGCACAGGCAAACCTGTCCTTGGTGCTGAACACTTTCCACACACATTAAAACAAATTTACAGTGTTTAGCATAGGGTAGCAAATATCTCTCCAATTTCCTCAATAATCAAAACAGTTACTGACATTCAATACATCACTGGGAAGTTTTTTTTTTCAAAAATAGTAATAAAAAACCCTGATACCAAATAAAAAAAGTCCTAAAAGTTTGAAGTTATCTAAGCAATGATGCCACAATGAAGGAAACAGTTAAGATAACCCGGCCAGTTGTTGCTTTGTGTCACATCAGCACCGCATTTGCTCAGCTTCATGAAGATCTCATTTGCAGAATACGCCACACGACCCTACAAATCGTTTTTACTACAGGTATCTCCTGTTACTTTGTGTTTGTTAACGTTGACATGAATTCTGTGTTTGCGACACAGTTTGTTTGGATGTCAGATTTACAAAGTCTGAATTTTACCGTCGCCGACGTATGATAAAGAATAGTCTGTTACACATTCTACTATTCACAATGGTACACCTGTCCCGCGCGCGCCGGGCAGGTGATGGAATTAATTCAATTTTAGGATGGCCAATCAGGAGAGGTATGCAAATGAGAAGGGTATGCTAATGAGAGGGTATACAAAGAAGAAGGTGATTACTTTACATAGTCTCCACCAGACTTCTTTTGCGGGCTGAATAAATAGTATAAATCGGCCTAAAAAGGGTATCAATTGGCAAGAGAAACGGAGCTTCTCTGGCCGGCTACCTTCTCTTGCCAATTAATACCCTTTTTTTAGCCGATTTCTACGATTTAATCAGCCCGCAAAAGAAGTCTGGTGGAGACTAAACTTACAGACTCTGTGAGCGCAAAGTTGTACCAAAGGGGGGGGGCTGTTCTAAATCAACTGCAAAATGCTCAATGAAAGACACATTATTTTGGCCCCAACAGTTGAAGAAAGTCCTTTTCTTCCTTGTTAAGTTTCTCAATGTACATGTAGCAATGCAATTTTGTTTCATTAAAAGTTCAAAATCTATTGCTTTAATTATAAACCAGCCTGGTATGTTCACTTCATGGCTCAAATTGTAACATTTCTGGCTATCATGGGGTGCCTTGGCCTGTTGTTTTTTTTCGCCCTGTCGCTTCATACTTTTTCTGAAAAAATCCGAGACACAACAAATTAAATTGGTGTGGCCTAAAGATTAATACATGTATGTAACTATCATTCTGCACATGACATGCAGCGAGATACATACATGTAATACAGTGTATTGAAAAGGACCTTCATAAAGTTCATTCTTGTACTCTCCCACAAAACTCAGTGTTTTCTATTTCATATCTACATGTAGATAAGAAATCCTACTCTGGCCCAGGGTCAGCCTTTTGTGTGAAAAACAAGCTTAACCGGTGTTAGAACTTTATCCTTACTCTGTCTTTTCAATTAAATGTTTGGTGCTGAGGCCATTGCTAGCCATCTTATTTTCTCTGTCGGCCAAAATGACTATAGATTTTTCCTCCACCAGTGTGGAAACATCCATTGAAATTCAGCAAGTGTAACAAGCATTCATGCAAACTTTGTAAATTAACAGTTGAGGTCAGTTTTAGGCCACACTGACTTAATTCTATGGATGACATCCTCTGAAGACCCCCCAAACTAGTGTAGCGAATAAAAACAAAATCTGACCAGTAAAAAAAATGCTGCTAAACCACAGGAATGCAAAGCTGGTGTTGTGACTTTGGGGGATTCACAGTGCATAGAGACTTTTACGATAAGCGGGAACATGCTAGCCTTTTGCGGCATGAGTTGGCACTGTACTGAGTTCCATGGAGCTTCGGCAGCCTGGGTGCTGTCCTCCGTGGTTTACCGCGGCTCCTTATTGTTGCTAGCTACCACTTACTGCGGAGGATGTCACCCAGGCTAAAGTCTTGTCGTTGTCGGAGGTCATTTTTCTTTTTTGGAGAACAGGCAAAAATCAATGCACGTGAGGATGTCATCCTTAAAACTAAATCTGCGTGGCCTAACAAGCATCCATGCAAACTATGTAAAACAGCTGAGGTCAGTATAATGATCGGTAGCTCAAATGAACAATATGTTAGGTCAGTGATCGAAGTCACACTGTTCCTGCTAATTGATTTATTCCTAAACAATCGACTGGCCACTGATTAACCTGTTGAAGCAACGAGCAGTTGAGGCCTTCCTAATTGAAAAACTGAAAATATATGTACACATCTAGATAGATTCTGCTTAGAGGCTTGACTACTCAACCAAGTTAAATCCATGTTTAGAACTCATAGAACAAAATATCAGTTATCTTTTTCTTCTAGGATACTTCATTTTTTACAAAACAGAAAAGGAAATCTTTTAACTCTTGATCAAGATCACACATTTTGAACTATCAATGTTCTCCACTATATATATATATGTATGTCTTCAATCTTATTTTCTTGCAGTAAGGCCACACCAATTTAATTTGTTGGTTCTCGGATTTTTTCAGAAAAAATATGAAGCGACAGGGCGAAAAAAAATAAAAACAGGTCTAGGCATCCTATTATAGGCTTAAATGCTACGAAACGAGCCATGAAGTCAACACAAAAGGCTGGGTTAAAATTTAAACATTGAATTTTGAACTTTTAATCAAACCACTGCAATGATAGATGGGAAAACTGTAACAACTAGGAAGAAAAGGACTTTCCTCAACTGTTGGGGGCAAAATATGAGCATTTTTCAGTTGATTCAGAAACAGAATCATTTTTTTTTTTTTTTTGCAAATCAGAAAAAAACGAAGAGGCGAATCCGAGAACCAACATATTAAATTGGTGTGGCCTAACTCTACAATGTCTGAAAGGCTGATGCAACGAATTGCATCCTCAAAGATGAATATGAGAAATATGGCTAGTACAAATAACTTGCCAACTGCTAACATGGAATGTTGCTGAAAAGGCTTTAATCGTTATAAAATATCAACATTTCATTGTACAGAAAGCTACTATAAAAATGTGTTCCTAAAAAGGGAAGCATCCAGTTTGTTAAAGATTTGTATATTTTTGTCAGTGTTCTAGCCAGCATCTGTCTTCATCATTTGATAGAATTTCGCTGCTCATGACGGACAAACATTTTGCTCAATCCATCATCTTTGAGGGACAAAAATCAGTCTGCAAAGATATGGAAGAGATAAACCATAACTAAGCTTAGTCTACCAGCAAAATTTTAAAAAGTACTGAATGGCACTGAAAGTACTGAATGGCACTGAAAAAGTCTACCAGCAAAGTAAAAAATGGAAACAAAAATGGAAAAAACAAAAAAAATGGCACTGAAAAAGTCTACCAGCAAAATTTTCACCTCAAAATGCAGGAATTAGCGTTTTGGAGGGTCAAGATTTTAAAATTTTTCCTCACTTCTTCAGTGTTCGACATGCTGTTACGGTCAAACAAGACTGAGATGGCGGAAAAAAAAGTCAGGCTGGGTAGAACACTGTTTCTGGTCAACTTTATTTCGCCAATTTTCGTGTACACAATCAACTTTCTCTCATTGAAAATGACTGTCTGTATAAATGTTAGTTTGAAAGATAGTACATCATATTCACATAAACTGCTGGTCAGAGCTGAGGCGAATCAGAAGTCGATGAGATGACCTATGGCAGGTGACCCCCGGGGGGCGCCCCCCCTGCCTGAAGTGGGGGTGTCCGAGAAGCTGAAGTGATGACTCTCTAACGGGGAGGGCGGCACCAGAATGGTATCATCTACTCCTACAGGGAAAGAGACAAAAAGTCATGAGCTCTCAAAACTGTAGAATAGGAAAGGACTGTGCTTATGATATTCAAAATCTAGATGGTACTGGTTACCTTGGTCATATGGTCGTAAGACTGACATATGCCATAATAAATTATAATCCATACTTAGGCCACACCAATTTAATTTGTTGGTTCTCGGATTTTTCCAGAAAAAATATGAAGCGACAGGGCGAAAAAAAATAAAAATAAAAACAGGTCTAGGCATCCTGTTATAGGCTTAAACGCTACGGAATGAGCCATGAAGTCAACACAAAAGGCTGGGTTAAAATTTAAACATTGAATTTTGAACTTTTAATCAAACCACTGCAATGATAGATGGGAAAACTGTAACAACTAGGAAGAAAAGGACTTTCCTCAACTGTTGGGGGCAAAATATGAGCATTTTTCAGTTGATTCAGAAACAGAATCAAATTTTTTTTTTTTTTTGCAAATCAGAAAAAACGAAGAGGCGAATCCGAGAACCAACAAATTAAATTGGTGTGGCCAAGTATTACTTTCTGTATAAAACATACATTTTAGTAGGCAGGGCTCTAGCTAGCTTGATTTTTTTTTTCTTCAGACCAGGTTCATGAATGAACCTAGGGGAGGACTGCTTTTTGAATTTTTTTTTATTTCCAAGACTTTGAAAATGCAATTTCCTACATTTTAAGAGGAAAATCATTGGTTGAAAGTTGTTGTTGGTGGTCCGTTGGATAATTTCAAAATATTTTTACTCACAATTTCTGTCAATTTTGTCCATCAAGGTTGATGGATTGGTTTTAAAAATTTTCTGTCACATGTAACAAAGGTTCTGCAACTAACGGAAAAACGGGTGCTGGCTAGAGCCCTGGTAATAGTACAATCAGGTATTGCTAATGTCAAATTCAGAATGAAGAAAAATATGGTGTAACTTATGAGGCTGGTTTTACTATGATCAAGTACAATGTTCATTTGATAGCACAAACAAAGAATCAGTTACCTAGAAATACTCCCAAACTCTCTCTCCGTGGTGGAAACTCGGAATCAGCATCTGTAACAGAAAGTTTGTTACCGTATTATGCTGAACATCAAAAGGCGTGACCGGGTAACAAACGACAGCATTTACAACTTGACCCAAACTAGTCCGCTGATTCAGCATGTGCGTCGGAGACAGCTGAACTTTCTGGGACACATCCTGCGCATGCCTGAGGATGAACCTGTTAGACTGTACGCCCTCTACGTGCCCTCTCATGGCAGACGCAGGCGAGGCAGACAGCCTACCTCCTACTTCAAGTATGTCCAGCGACTACTGGGAGATGAGCACAACCAACTAACAGAGAAGCAGATCGCCAACCTTGCTAGCGACAAGGGGCAGTGGAGGGACCTTGCAGTCGCCTGCGCAGCAGCCGACCGATGATGATGAACAGAAAGTGTGTCACATTCTACTGTGCCTAAAAGTCATGGTTTTAGACATGTAGTGTGACAATTCAAGTTCATATCATTTTCACATTCATATTATGACTGTCTTCTTTCATCAAAAGTGTTCACTGCATAATAAAGACAATGAAACATATATAAGATACATGTCTGAGATTCAAGAAAAATATGAAGAAAAACAAGAATGATCATTCTATACTTCCTTGACCATTCATTCATTCGTTCAAAAGAAGTGGTCTTACTGAGAAAGTTGGACCTGCCATCTGAGTGGAGCCAGTCAGTGACAGGAGAGTTTGCTAAGGTACTGGAGTTCCTGGTGCCTGATGCTTTCCTAATACGATTCACTACAAAAACAAGAAAGTATAGCATCTTACAATATCACCTATGCAATAGACTTCTAGATGTGATCATGTATAAAGATTAAATCAAATGTTAGTACACAGGTGCTGTGGTTTTCTTCCAATAAAAACTGAGTGCACTACTATAGAAATTAAAAGGGTAGGTACAATGTATGTACAATTGTACACTTGGCTTAAGTGTAACCCTTGTATCACTATTTACAGATACGGGTGAAGTGCAATGCAAAAGTGCTAGAGGGAGCTGTGACGTGGACAGACATACCTGCAGGATTCACAGGTGTCCTGTTGGGGGTGACTGTCTGAGTCTGGGTCCAAATTGGAGCAGAGATAAAACTGTAGCCGTCTCCACTGGAAAGGAAAATTGCTCCAACATCAGAATCCTCCCAAAATCAAATACAGTACTTAAAAAGGTTGAAGGTTACTATTAGTGAAGGTTCCAATGAGTGATATTTGACTTTACCTGTCTGTTGTAGTTTGTCTAGGTTCTACATTATCCTCCCAATCCAGCCTGCCCCTCGGCTGTCCCAGTGGAGTGGAAAACACGTCGTCACGTAGCCCTAAACCTGACAACCCTCTCCTGTGGTCTTCCTGGTCCTCTTCTTTCCGTGGAGAGTGCTGTAGGAACTTCTCACTCAGCGGTGGCTCGGCGGCTCCCCCTACCTCTGCAGTACCAGTGTTGATAGAAAGCTTTGGGAGTGTGTCTTGTTGGGGGTCTGTTTCTACTTCCTCTGCCATGAGGGCCATGGCGCTCGCTTTAAGCCGCTGGTATCTGGCTATCACGTCTTCGGGGGATTGGGCGGCAGCCTTCCCTCCTGCAGTACCGTTTTCGGCGGCAGGGAGCGCTGATGAAGAGTGGGAATCCTCCAGCAGCGAGGTCCCCTTGGAGCTGTTCATGGACTCGTACGCGGAGTAGGTGTGCTCCGTGTGGACCTCCGCGAACGTCACGCTCTTCCCGGAGCTGGCGGTCGGGTGACGGTCCCTGCCAGCGCCGATGGAGTCGCTTGCCTCCGAGCCAGACGAGCTGCCATTGGTCACAACAGGAGATCTCTTCTGACTGCCGGCAAAAATATCCGAGAGAAGCTTGCTCTCTCCAACACTCATGTCGTCATCGGGGGACCTGGCCGAAGGACTGTCAAACAACTCAGACTGCCACTTTGGGGTCTGACCCTCGAGAGTAAGAGCGCTGGTATCACCCGGCGTGTGCAGAGTGCCCAGCCGCGACCGAACCTCCAGCGTCGGAGTTCGAGAGGAAAAAATCTCGTTGAACGTTTCCTCCACGTCTTCGAGCCTGATCGGCGGGTTGGCCGGTGTCGCGTCGTCCTCTTCTGATGCCGCGTCGTCCCCAGGGTCCGTCCTCAGCGGCGACTCAGCATCTCCTATCCCCAGGTTTGCTAGAAGTTCTTCAATAGGAACATCGGAGGGGATTTCATCAGACAACCCAAGAGGAGTTGTCGCTATTCTCATCATGGTTACAGCAGGCGGCGTCCTCTCCATAGTCTCAGTGGATATTTCTTCAACAGAAGAGGAGGATGAGGACTTCCTCTCATACACGTTTACACCATCTTTCTCCACACCATCTTTGATTCTTCCTCTCGCTTTGCTTTTACTCTCATCTCCATTGTAGGCTCCGCCTTTCCCGTTATTTAGCGCTTTTCCTCCGTTTGTGGACGAAGGGACAGACGATTCAGCGCTGCTGAATGTCATCAAGTCTTCGAAAGGTTTGCCTTGGACATGACTCTCCCTTCCCTTTTCAGTCCCGTTCAGCAGGGAGAGGAGGGAACTCTGAGTGGAGACGCTTCCGACTGGCGAGCTGGGTTTCTCCGACTCGGAAGACTCCTGGTCTTCCATGGAAGGATATCTCTGCTTGCCGAGCTGTGGCCAGCCGTTGCGTAGTCCTGTAAGCCCGCCTTCTATTGGTGGTTGCTCTTGGCTTGCGTGGTCTTGTGGGAAGAGCGTTCTTGTTGGAGTGTCCTGCCGTCCGTCTTGAGACAGAATATCTTTCCACATTGGAGCTGGGATGTAAAAACAAAAAAGTTATAAATGTAAAATGTAATTTCAAAAGGTGACAAGTGTTGTACACCAAAAAACAGTTACTGAAGCAACTGGATATGATTTTTGAAAACGTCAGACGTTTCAGCTAGTATCCACTAGCTTTCGTCAGTGACTGAGAGACCAGAGAGGAAAGCAGGTTTATAAGCACAACCTGTTGATTGATATGCAAATAAAGTGAAGACAAATTTTTTGGAAGTCGAAAAAGGAACAAAAGTCAGACAAGTCAAGACAAGAAGATGCAAATTAGTCTGAAAGCTCCTGTTATACAGAACAGGAGCTTAAGTGTTGTCTGTCCTCGGGGCAAGTGTTGTAAATCGTCAAATACTTGTGAAATACAGCAAAACTCATCACACTACGAATGTGTGCCCTGTCTTGCATTACTATCATATAGTTGTGCCGCAACTTAAAAGAGTTGAAGTGTGTTAAAACTAGGGCAAAAATCAATTTAATTTGTTTATCATTGTAGAGAAGTGATATATTCAAGGCTTTTAGCATCATATGTAATATTACATCTCAGAATTGCCTAGATTTTCAACCTGGACTGCAAACTTCAAAACTTGAGCAATACACTTTTCTTCCTATATTCTGTAATAGTTAGAAAAGACTGTCTGTCATCTAGAAAATGTTGGAATTCAGAACTTCAAATGTTTTACCGGGTCTGGGCTTGGACGAGGGTGTTCTTTGAAGTTTATCTCGAGAAGTGAAGGCAACACTTTCATCTGGAAAGGACAAGAATAAAAAATCTTATTTTTGAGATCAAGTCAATGCTGCAAAAAAGATTCTTTGGTGTACTTAATGTCCATTGTGTACCACTCATAGATAATTTTGTTGACAATGTGTAAAATCCCATTTTCTTGGCAGATTACCACTGAAAAAAATTTGTGATTAAAAGACAGCAACTTGCACTACATTTCTCAAGTCTACAGGCTAGTACTAGGCGGGAACTAATTATATGAATCTTTTGCAGTGATTGTATGTTGTAAGGTTGGGTTTTTGTTGAACGTAATCTCTCCATCATTACGCTGCAAATATTTGGTTTCTGAATGCACTCCGGATCCGTCATCCTTAAACATCATGTGCAAATGTGTCCTTCCCCACTACTACGAAATTAGGTCCCTGCTAACACAAAACAGGGCTCGAAATACTGGGTACATGTGCACCTCAGTGCACCCAAATTTGAAGCTGTGCACACAATTTTTTCTGTGGGTGCACCAGTGCACCCAAATATTTTTGTAGGTTTACATATGTAAAGATATCTAATGTATACAGTATATTCTTGACACCTAAATGTTATTGTCAGAAAAATAATTTAAGTCTTTGTTGTATATATTGTGCACCCAAAAAAATTCACCAGTGCACATATCCCCAAAATTTTTAAAGTGAATTTCAAGCCCTGCAAAATGTTTTCCAGTGCTATGGAGGTCCCTACCTAGCGCAGCTAGTGGGTCCTGTAGAGGTTGTAGGACAGGGGAGTTGGGAGGTGAGCGGTCAGAAGAACTGGCTACAGAAGGGGTCCTCTCTTCTGCTACTGCTGAAGCAATCTAACAACAAAAGAAACAAGTCAGTATTGAAGATACTAGAAGTGCATACATTTAGTATTTCATACATTCTTAGGTACATTTCTTTCTTACAATAATCATTTTCAACTGGTAAATACTGTTAGAAAAGAGAAATCATGAAACATTTGCATGAAACAGCTTTTCTGTTATTGGTCTAATAAAATTTCCAACATTTGCTCTGTCTTACTTGTACTGTTTCTAATCTCCAAGCAGATCTTTTGGTGGGGGTAAGACAGTATCAAATTGCCAGTCTGTAACCATTTCCCCACCCAAGATCTGCCTGCACTCGAACAGGGAGGAGCACTTCTTTTCAAAAATGGTGTTGCTGCCCCTATTATCAGCTATCAAAAATTTGTTGTGCTAAGATTTTTACAAGCGGTTTATGGCTTGAATCTGGGACAAATGCAGTCACCCGTGCACATTTCAGTGGGAGTTCTCGCCTAACCCCGTCCAGATAATACTGTATGCTGGTACTTAAGTATGCTGGCTGAAACATAGAAATGTCAATAACTGGGCTCCTTGTGGTTCAAAACCGCAGATATCACAAAACATATGTTGGACCTTCTTTTCCTTTAGTTACACTGTCCAAAATAACAGTTGGTGAGGGGACCCATAGAGAGACTTCCTGTAATGCTCAACCAGCTGGCCCACTAGGAGGGCAAGAGCCTTGCCTGGTGGTCAGGGCAATAAGCTACTTGGCAAGAATATTTTGATCAGGCAACAACTAGGTGTTAATAGCCTTTGACGTTTCGACTGCAGGCAGATCTTGGGTGGGAAAATGGTTACAGACTGGCCAGTTTGATACTGTCTTACCCCCACCAAAAGATCTGCTTGGAGATTACTGTTTCAACTGCAAACTTAAAACACTGCAAACACTTCCTTCTCTTCTACCCCATAACCTTACAATGCCATACAGTAAAATCTTACAGTATAAATCAATAGATTTTTTTGTGAGGCCACAGGGGCGGAGGCATTTGTTACTGACTACGATCGTTTGAAAGAACTGCAAATATTGCACAAATGCATTCCCTGGGGAATTGGTTTTTGAGGCAACCTTCGGTCATGTGGTCTTTGAACCAAGCTTGGGAGGCCTTTGTTTAGTTTTCATGTCAAACGCACTGTTTCAGGCAATTTGCACCTTTTTGCACAGAGAAAGATTTTCATTTTCATTCTTACAGTAGTAAAGCTCTACCTGATCAATCAGGAGCTGATGTGCCTTTGGTGTAAAACCCTGCACCCCCCTACTCGGAGTGGTGTTGGGATCTTCCACGGGTCTCCCAACTGGCGTTCTCCAGCGCTGGTCTCCCATTGGCTGTTTGGACTGGGAGGCCAGCATGTCCTGCGCTCTTCTCCGCTGGTGTACCGGCGTCATCTCCACCCTCATCTGCGGGTCTGTCTTCAGGGGGGTGAAGATGTTGTTTGTATCGGGGCTGGTGGGTGCTGGTGCATGCAGTACCTCCTGCTGGACCCTAGGGGGCATTTTAAGCTGCTGGACAGGTCTCTCCTCTCTTCTCTTCACAGGTATCTTGGAGGCAGGCTGTATGCTTTCCCTTGAGGAACACAAAGCAAGAAATACACTATATTACGAATAATCATATCAAATACACAAAACATCACTTCTTTTATAGTTGATTTGGAATACACAATGGTCATTAGAAGGAGGGTGTCATTGATCAGAAAATCAAATTTTTAAATGTCAAGACCATAGATCAATATAACTTTCTAAAAAATTCTACCTTTCCTACCAACCCAAATGTATTTGGACTTTGTGTGAATTGAGATGCCCTGATGTAACCCATTAGCTATAAACAAATCCAGTGGTCGAAATACTTTTTTTTAGCGCTCTGCAATATTGCAGAAGAGTCAAAATTTTGTTCTGCAATTTGGAAATACTTTCTGCAAATACACAAGCCTCCATACTACAATCTTGCAGGTTTATAAGCATGAACTATTGATTAATATGCAAATTAGTGAAGACAAATGTTTGGAAGTCCAAAAGAAACAAAAGATAGACAAGTCAAGACAAGGTTGATGCAAATTAGTGAAGAAGCTCCTGTTGTTTCAGAATAGGAGCTTCAGTGTTGTCTGTCCTTGGGGCCAAGAGCGCAAATTCCCAAGTGCCAATTTTTCCTTCTGCAAAATTGCAGATTGTATAAATTTTTCTTCTGCAATCTTGAAAATCTATCTGCAGATTGCAGACTGCAGACAGGTATTTCGAACACTGAAATCCCTACCTGAAAGTCTGTTCCCCAGTCAGTACTCCCCTGTCGTACGTCGGAGTTCCCTGGGCCAGCAGCCCCGTGGTCCTGCGCGCCGCCCGGTGGACAGAACTGGCCAGTCTGGACACAACCTCTGGAGTGGACACTACACAGGGAGGGAGACACAACTAGCTTTTTAGCTTATGTTTCTTCTTTCTTTCAAATATGAACTAATAGCTACCACATATACATTGTGTGGGGTTGTGTGGCATAGCGGTTGCGTGTTCAGCTCAGAATCAAGAGGTCCTGGGTTCGAATCCTACCTTGTCACCAATCTTGTGCCCTTGGGAAAGGCACTTAACATGACTTTGCTCACTTTACTCAGGTAAAAATGAGTACCTAGCTTTGGTTAGGGACGACCCTCGGATAGGACGTTAAAAGGAGGTCTGTACATGTAGTTGGTGAGAGCCACAAGTGGGGACCACACACGTTAAAGAACCCACCACACTTATTGAAAAGAGTAGGGGCATGCCCCGGTGTGCGATGGTCCAAATACTACTATCTGATGATTCACTACGGACTCCAGGAAGAATAGTGTGAAAATTCACACTAATGGAGATCCTATTCAACAAACAAACAAACAGACAAACAAACACACCTTCAGGAGAGGGCCTGCGGAGGGAAGCTGCAGGGGTGAGTCCCGTGGTCCCTTCCTGAGGTGAGAAGGACACGGGTGGAGTGGCAGGCATCAGGCCCAGACCTAAGGACTGGAGGAACAACAGGGATTCAAACACTCACTTCAACTTTCTACAATCTTCAGATGCAGATTGTTTTTTTAACTGGTTGGGTTTTCATGGTACTACATGCAAGTCCTAGCAAAAAAAATTGTGTTTCCTGTTTCCAGACTCACTCTAGAAAAAACTGCTGACCATAGTAGCCTTTTTTTGTGTGGGTCCGTGCAAGGTTCATAATTTTTTCATAATTTTTTTCCGAGTATGATACACTCTTTCAATATCAATGTTGGAAAACTGATTGTACAATCACAATGCTTCATCACTCGGGTGTCAGATCATGGAGTTAGACAAGGTTGATCAGCTCAAAAATTTATGTCCCTTGCAGGGACCCACCCAAAAAACGGCTAGGGTTGGTCAGGAAACAGGACATTTTTTTCTAGGCCTTACAAACATCATAAATAATCCTTTGAATAGCCTCTTGAGTTTTCCTTAAATATTACCAAAATGTCACCAGTTTGCAAGGTAAGAACATGTACAACTTGTACATACCGGGATAGACAGAGGATATGAGTTCTGTGTGGTGGGTTCTTGGGGCAGATATTGTGAGTCCAGCTCCCTGGTCAGCCTGGCTACAGACTCCTGGAGATCTGGGATCAGCTTGTCTACCAGAGAATCTCTGCAGGAGAAAAAACAAGCCAGTACAGTAGTAAGTACAACAGACCATTGGCTGTCTTACAAAAAAAAGAGTTGTTCTGGAAAAGTAAAAATGGTAAGGCACAATGCACGAAAGAAAGAAAATGGAAAACAAAAAATTTCTGTAGCAAATTTTGTAGTAATCTTTTGATTATCAGTTTTCTTAAATGTTTGGAGTGTCTTTTGGGAGGGTTTTTGCAGTATACCTTTACTATGAGTATGAAATTACGACACTGCGAAAAATAATTCTATGCTACAGTATTATTTTGACTGAAAACACTTCATAAACCTCTTTCCCCCTAGGATTGCAAAATCTAATCCATACAAAACTCAATAAATTTAAAGTATTGCATTGATACAGCCATAAATTGCTTCTGGATACAGAATCTCTTAAGAAGCTAAATATAACTTACTAGTACTATTGTACCAGTAGAAACTACAATGTATAAAGTGGGAAATATACAATGTACCATTTGCTATCAGTCCTATCAAAATCACATTGAACAGAGCACCAAACAGAAGCCCTTTTTGCCCCTTTGTTATTTATGTACTGTGTCCTCTTTGCCATCATTTATCATTGGGTGGGGAACCGGACCTGTGCTCTTGAATTTCTTGTATTTACTGTTTTTTGCCTGTCTTAAAGTTGCGATTGTTTCTTTTCTTTATTATATGTATTTATTTAGTGGTGCCGTCAACATAAGTGCTTTCCACTTGAGTGAGGCATCACCATGTCCTGTATCCTTTTTTCATGTGAATGAATAAAAAAAAAAAAAGCCTATTGTTTGTCTGTAATGTCCCAGATGACTCACCTGAATGCCTGTGCGTTGGACAGGTGTGCATGGTGGGTGTGCACGTGGGTGGCAACCTCACCAGAGAAGTCAGAAAAGTTGGGCAGACCACCTGGACATAACAAAAATACAACATATACTAGTATCCATTTGTTTCCTGGCCCAACAAATGAATAGTACATGTTTTGTCCAACAAATGAATAGTACATGTTTTGAAATTACTGTAAAATCACTTTATGTTAGCGGTAGCAAAAGCTTACGGTCTGAAAAAAATGGACACGTTTGCAGAACTGTACATTTGCGGTGGCAGCAGGTGCAGCAAAATGAAAGTTGGTGAATCACTTGTGCAATGATATATATAATAAGTTCGCTGTACAGAAGTAAAAAATCGCGAATATCAAAGTACTGCCAAAAAATTGTGATTCACAGTAAGACCTGTACTAAATCAATGGGTCTTTCTTTGTAGCTATACTAATGAGATAATAACATTGAGAATTTCTTAGCAATGGTATATACCCCCCACCAAGATTTCTGGTTCAGAAAATGCCTCTGCCCTGAGGCATCGCCAAAAAAATCAACCAATAAAATAAGGCCACACCAATTTAATTTGTTGGTTCTCGGATTCGCCTCTTCGTTTTTTTTCTGATTTGCAAAAAAAAAAAAATTTGATTCTGGTCCTGAATCAACTGAAAAATGCTCATGTTTTGCCCCCAACAGTTGTTACAGTTTTCCCATCTATCATTGCAGTGGTTTGATTAAAAGTTCAAAATTCAATGTCTAAATTTTAACCCAGCCTTTTGTGTTGACTTCACAGCTCATTTTGTAGCATTTAAGCCTATAATAGGATGCCTAGACCTGTTTTTATTTTTATTTTTTTTCGCCCTGTTGCTTCATATTTTTTCTGAAAAAATCCGAGAACCAACAAATTAAATTGGTGTGGCCTAAATGACAAAAGAAGCAAAACACCATGCATACCTTCATGCAACTTTTCAATGTAAAGATGCAAGGCAAGGCTTGACAGCTGCACCAAACTTGGAGAAAAAAAATGCAATAATCATTTGTAAGACAAAGAAGACTGTGAAAATGATGTGAATTGATGTCTGCTTTTAAAATTGCAGTAAAAATGTTTAGAAAATCTGTGGCTCACCTCAGGAGATTGAGTTTTCCTCCCTGATAGATGTCTCCAACATTTCTCTGCATGGAGGAGATAAAGACTCTTGATTTGGTTTGGTAAAAAAAACAAAATGATGAACAAATCTACATGTATGTTGTATGATAGCATGATACAGTGGACACCAACTATTTCCATCACAGCTAAGGCCATGTTGATTTGATTATATGGATGACATCCGTGCGCGCATGACTGATGCGCGCGTGCGAAAGTTTCCCCAAAAAAGTTGTTTTCAACCATACTGTAAATCGTACAAAACAGTTGCAAAATGAGCAAAAATATACCATAAGTTACAAAAAAATTAATAAAAACTATACCAATGTCGTAGAATGCCAAAATCAAACGAAAAAAGACGAAATTGTAAAGAAATGAACTTGAAGACTAGATTATTCGCCAAACCATATTCTGTGCCATTTGCTCAACCCTCATGACCATGTAGATTTCATAATGAAAAGAACTTTTTTTTTGCAAAACTTTTTTTTTATTCGCACGCGCGCATCATTTTTGGGCTCCCGGAGGATGTCATCCATATAATCAAATCAACATGGCCTAATTGCATAAAGCTGGGATTTGCTTAAAATTATGAATTATTACTACATTATAAATCAAATGGCTTAATCACATCAGTGATGAAGATGGAATAAACCTGATACTCGGGTAAAATATTGTCAAGTCAAGGTGGTCTGCAAGTCAATTTGAACAATTTCCAAATTCTCATGAATAAAGAATGGTCCGAACAAACAAACAAATAAAAAACAAAGACAATGCAGTGTTCGAAATACCTGTCTGCAGTCTGCAATCTGCAGATAGATTTTCAAGATTGCAGAAGAAAAATTTATACAATCTGCAATTTTGCAGAAGGAAAAAATAGACTCCAGATTCAATAGTTTTCAATTTAGCAAACTAGAACTCTCAGGTCCCATCAAGGACAGACAACACTTGAGCTCCTGTGTGCTCCTGTTTTGAAACAACAGGAGCTTCTTCACTAATTTGCATCATCCTTGTCTTGACTTGTTTATCTTTTGTTTCCTTTTTGACTTCCAAAAATTTCTCTTCACTAATTTGCATATCAATCAATAGTTTTTGCTTATAAACCTGCAGTTCTCCTTCCGTCTCTTAGTGTCACCGATGAGAAAGCACCAAAATTATATACAGCTACTTGAGTAACTGTTTTTTGTGTGTCTTTTATTAGTATGTTTTAGTATGTTTTTGCAGAAAGTATTTCCAAAATTGCAGAACAAAATTTGGACTCTTCTGCAATATTGCAGAGCACTGAAAAAAAAGTATTTTGACCACTGCAATGCCACAGTAATAGAATAACCAGACTCTTCCTACACCTGGCTTACCCTCTGTAATTCCCGGTCACACTCCCTGAGTAGCAGGTCAGGCACACGAACGTCTATTTTGGAGGCGTCCACTTTATACTTNTTACTACATTATAAATCAAATGGCTTAATCACATCAGTGATGAAGATGGAATAAACCTGATACTCGGGTAAAATATTGTCAAGTCAAGGTGGTCTGCAAGTCAATTTGAACAACTTTCCAAATTCTCATGAATAAAGAATGGTCCGAACAAACAAACAAATAAAAAACAAAGACAATGCAGTGTTCGAAATACCTGTCTGCAGTCTGCAATCTGCAGATAGATTTTCAAGATTGCAGAAGAAAAATTTATACAATCTGCAATTTTGCAGAAGGAAAAAATAGACTCCAGATTCAATAGTTTTCAATTTAGCAAACTAGAACTCTCAGGTCCCATCAAGGACAGACAACACTTGAGCTCCTGTGTGCTCCTGTTTTGAAACAACAGGAGCTTCTTCACTAATTTGCATCATCCTTGTCTTGACTTGTTTATCTTTTGTTTCCTTTTTGACTTCCAAAAATTTCTCTTCACTAATTTGCATATCAATCAATAGTTTTTGCTTATAAACCTGCAGTTCTCCTTCCGTCTCTTAGTGTCACCGATGAGAAAGCACCAAAATTATATACAGCTACTTGAGTAACTGTTTTTTGTGTGTCTTTTATTAGTATGTTTTAGTATGTTTTTGCAGAAAGTATTTCCAAATTGCAGAACAAAATTTGGACTCTTCTGCAATATTGCAGAGCACTGAAAAAAAAGTATTTTGACCACTGCAATGCCACAGTAATAGCAATAACCAGACTCTTCCTACCCCTTACCCTCTGTAATTCCCGGTCACACTCCCTGAGTAGCAGGTCAGGCACACGCACGTCTATTTTGGAGGCGTCCACTTTATACTTGTCCAGAACTCCTTGCAACACAGACTCTACCACTTCACGCTGGATGGGGGAAAGGATTTTTTCAGACATTATCTGGCAATTGTGATATCTAACATGTCAAAGTCAAACAACAAGTATTTGTCTCATAAACACGGAAGCACAATTTCTCTAGAAAATTTCCTTTAGTTACTGAAATGTGCGTACCCATACATAATTTTTTCTCTATTACATCTACCAGAAAGTAAGATTATTTTCCTTATGGTAGAAATGTATATAGGGTCAGGGCTCAAAATACTGGGTGTATATGCACCTTAGTGCAGGTAAAATTGGGGCTGTGCAGGTATTTCTGATGTCTACCTGCACCTAACATACACTGGTTCATCTACTGTTTATATACATGAAGCATAATTAAAGAAATAATGGCAATGGTTTCTAAATAGGTTTTAGAGTTTTAGTACTTCTCAAAGTCTGAGTGGTGCAGGTAAAATTTGTCTGGTGTAGGTAATTTTGAATGTTACCTGCACCAGTGCAGATATGCAGAAGGAAGGACTTCAAGGTCTGTTGATGTGGCGTCGTGTGGTGTAGTGGTACATCACTGGACTATGAAACGGGGAGACCCGGGTTCGATTCCGGGTCGTACCCGACCAAGTCCGAACATGCGCCCCGACGTTGTACCCTTGGGAAAGGTACTTTACACGACTTTCCTCACTTCACTCAAGTGAAAATGAGTACCTAGCTTTGGCTAGGGACGTCCCTCGGATAGGACGTTAAATGGAGGTCCCGTGTTTGGGAGAGCCACACCCCACGCACGTTAAAGAACCCACCGCACTTATCGAAAAGAGTAGGGGACCTTCCCGGTGTGAGTGGTTCAAACCGTCTGTTGTCATTGACAGTCTGGTGTCGGGGTTGACATCTTTGTAAAGGTGATAGTCACCTGTTATGTCAATCCTTCCACAAATGTGGTAAATCTTCATAAATAAATAAATAAATAGATAAATAAAAAAAAGACTGGTACAATGTAATGTGTTACCCTCGAAGCTTACCTGCTGTGAAGTGCCTGTGTACAACTCATCAACTGCTCTCCACAATTCTCGCACCTGGAAAAAGCAAAACAAAACAGTAACAATTAGCTACTCTCGGGTCCCGAATAAACATACCACCCCGGAATAAAAGTATCCCCCGGACAAATCTTCAAAATCCAATAAACATGTCCCTCCCGGAATAAAATGGTACTACCCCCCAGAAAATTACCAAATTGACAACTGTGTTTAGAAGTTCGCGATGATTTTGTGATGCATTTATCCTGCCTTCCATTGCAAAAATTTTCACTGTGCCCTGCATGTGCTGCAAATCTAAATGAATCTCCACCGATCATAAGAGCTCGAACTCGCACGGCTGTCAAACTGTTTGCGGACTGGGACCCTTATCTGTTGAACTGCCCTGTAGCAAGTTTGAACGGCTACAAGGGGAGCTTAAGATTCCACGGCCCCCAACTGTGGAATAACTTGTCACTTAAGCAACGTCAGACAGTGGGGCTGGTACAATTCAGTCAGGGATTGTGATGCTATGAATGTATAGTGGAAAATGAGTGAGTTCCTTTGTTATACTGTATGTCATTTTGGATTATGTCTTTTTCTTGTAATGTATAACGTTTGCCAGTATTTGTACTTGTATGCCCAGCACTACCTGAAAAACAGGTTTTTTAATGTAACCTGAGCGTATTCTGCTGGTAAAATAAATAAATGAAATGAAGTACCTTGTGGACAGCCTGTGTTCTCTTGACCCTCAGGATATCGTCGTCATGTTGGAGTCTTCCTCCTGACTTCCTTCTAGTGGGACTTAGAAGGAGAGCAACTATTACTGTTTAGGGCTCAAAATACTGGGTGCATGTGTACCTCAGTGCACCCAAAATTTGAGCTGTGCACACAATTTTGTCTGCACCCAAATACTTTTGTAGGTTTACGTAAATACATGTAATACACCTGTATCTTATGTATACTAGAATACGGTATATTCTTGACATCTGTCAGAAAGTATAAGATTATTTCATATGGTGCACCCAAAAAATTTCCTGTGCACCCAATTTTTTAGGTTGCGTGCATCAGTGCACCTCTTCCCAAAAGATAATTTTGAGCCCTGCTGTTGCTCAGCTGATATAGCAAATGCAAGAAAATTGTAAGAAAACTCTCCACAAACTCTGCGTAACACAAACTAGAATCTACTGATTTGTACTGGTACAATGTACACGTACATGTACAGGTCTAAATATAATCCACACTCTGTGAACACATGTCAACAAAGACAGATTATAAAAGTCACCTTATCCTGTTTATCTCACTTGACTCTGCCAGCAGTTCGTTTTCTTGCTTTTCCGTCTCTCGTAACTTCTTTGACAGGTGGCGATGTTCCTTCACCTGCTCACTACAACATTGAGACAACAGTTTGTTTTTATTTATTTAACCAGGGGGATACATATCGCCCGTGGGGCGCTTTTCAATGAGCCCAGGGCCTGGGGAAGACCCCAAATGGGGATTAATCAGACTTTCAGGTTTTTGTGACCTTCAAGGGTGATACTGTCAACACTTTTGTATGGCTGCGAAACCTGGCACCTGAAACTAAGTCAAGAAAGGAGACTTGATTCCTTCGACAGAAAGTGTCTAAGGAAAATCCTGGGCATTAGATGGGATGACGAATGATAACATCAGACTTCAAACTAAGCAACAACCAGTGTCCTCCATCATCTGAAAACGCCGGCTCAGCTGGTTAGGACACGCTGTCAGACTCCCACCTGTCAGACTGGCCAACCAAGTCCTACAGTGGTGCCCAGAAGGACGGAGAAGTCGGAGAAGGACGGACAGACAGTGGAGAGGGACCTTCAGGCAGTCAGCATGAGCTGGAAGGAAGCCTTGAGGCTGGCTGCTGACAGAGGAAGCTGGGCTACTTTGACTGCCTCATGCGTCACGAGACGCGGGAGCCCCTAAGTCTAAGTAAGTCAAGGGTGATAAAAGGCTTGGAACTTAGTCATGTTAGGGATTACATTAGTCTCTCTGCAGCGCCACCTAGCTGCTGTGGGAAGTACGACAAGTCATTGTTGCCCCGAGGAAAGTAGAAAGAGGACTACTGAAATGTTGGTAGGTATATGCTTGAAATTTGACTGTGGAACAATGAACTGTATTATCCAGCAAGAAAGCTACCTTCCAAAAAAGCTCTAGACTACTGATCTTTACTAAAAACAGACCACTACCTCTACTAAAAAAATAAATAAAAAAAATTGTAATACATGTACATGTATGTAGATATGTGTATTTATTGCTGATTTTGCAACATGCATTCATGTTTATTTCAAATACGACGTGTATTGTTCTGTCCCAGTAGTATGTAGATATTTGTGTTTTTATTTATTTTATTTTGTAAAATGTATGTTTGTTTTTAATTAACTGTATGCACATTTGAGCCTTGGAAGACTAGCCCAAGAGCTCGAGGGCTATAAAAAGGTTTTGAAGTAAATGAAACAATGAGACGTCTTACTTGGCAAACTGTTTCCACTCTGCCTCCAGTACTTGAGCGGTCTGAGCCGTGTCCAGTGCCTTCTTCCTGTGCCTGACCAGACCGGCCTGGACACCGGTCAACATTAGCGGGGTCAGGTGGAGGTCAGAGGGCAGCACCGTGGGGCGCTCTTGGATGTCCCTTCTCTTCACACCTGTAAACAAAAGGGTGCATTGTTTCATCAGGTTGGTAAGTTACTGAGTAAAGTGACTCTTTTTTGAGACACATATTGTAGCCATGTAACCATGTATGTGTAGATAATTATGTAGATATTGTAAATTAAGCTTGAGAATGCATCTATAGCAGCGACACCTGTGCTGCAGTGCAATGTGAACCAGTCAGAATTGCCCTGAGGAAGGTGACAGACGAACAACAAAACGTTGGCTGTGGATAAAAAAACACTTGGTTGTGTAAAAAGAGTCTCTTTACTCTGTAAATAAGTGGATTTAAACAAACAGACAACTAAAACTCCCTTCATTCTCGTCCTGACATATCATGTTTCAATGTTTCCACAAAAAAACATGACTGCAGTTGCACTGAAGGTTGCAAGGGGGCACAGCTGCACAGGACAACATCACTTGAACATAAGCCGTATCTATCCTATTACATAGGATAATCATTGTCCAGCATGGCTTTGTTAGCAAGGTCCTAGCTAAGTATACACTAACTGAATGATACAAGTTCAGGAGTATGTTTTTACCATTCTCCACCTGGGTGGCCTTCAGAATGACGAAGGCAGAGAAATGCAGCATCAGGTTGTAAAATCTGTCTCCTGTAAAATAAATGGCAAGAAAAATGACATTAAAAATATGAAAATAAAGCTTCCTGAAGCAGGGCTCGAAATTAACATTGTCCCAGTGTCAAATGACACTAAATTTTCAGCTTGGGACAATTCAAATTACGTTTCGGGACAATTTTGGGGCAATTGGAAAATTCTAAGACCATCCACGTCATTTGGGAACGCGATCCATCCATCCTGCTGCAGACTGCTGGCAGCCTATAAATATATAATACTCTGACAAACATTTAAATTTGACCAATCAGGGATTCCAAATATCAGGGACGGTGCCATGCCCATGATATTATCATGTATTTCCCTACATTTACTAATAAAGTGGACTTCAAGTTGCACAAATTCAGTTGTTGTTTTCTTATTTTTGTCATCAACTTATTTCCTGAAAAGCAGACTGGGACAGTCCATCTTCAGTTCGGGACAATTAAAATCTATGTTTGGGACAATTCTGGGACAATAGTGAAAAAAGTTAATTTCGAGGCCTGCTGAAGTAATGCCATATCTCTGATTTGAGATCCTCTTGCAAGAGAAGGTTTTTTTGTATGAGACACAAAAGTTAAAAAAGAAAAAAAAAACATTTTGTTGTTTCTTTTGGTTCTGTTATTTTCTTAAGACTTTGGCAATATCTAGTGATCCAACTTATACAATTAAAATGCAGTTTAACAAACTAAAACTTGCATGAGGACACAATGTTGGTAAACTGATAGTACAATGTTTCATCACTCAGGTGTCAGATCATGCAGCCAGAAAAGGTCGATCAGCTCGAAATATTATGTCCCTTGCAGGGACCCACACACAAAAAGGCTACGGTAAGCAGTTTTTTCTAGGGTTGGACAGGAAACAGGAGGCTAGTGCTGCATACCTAAACCCACATTTAGGTTCAGGTCCTGATTCAAGTCCAGAGGTTTAGGTTCAGTTCCGGACTTGTAAGTCCAGACCTAAACCCACATGGCATATACAAAATTGCATGTTGGCAACCTTGCAATGTTGTCTGGGTGAAACTTTGGCCACTGTGACATGGAGGCCGATACTTGACGATGCCCGATGGCAATGTTTTCTTCATTTTGCAGAAGTTTTTTCAATCTACGGAACGTTTTATGTGGTTTGGAAAGAAAAGGGGTATGTGAAATGGTCTTTTATGGTAATAAGTCCGGACTCGGTTCTTGACTTTTAGGTTTTTCTGGACTTGAACCTAAACCGGATCCAAGTCCAGTGAACCGGTATGCAGCACTACAGGAGACAACATTTTTTTCCTTTGGTGAAATGTGTGTGGCTACCTCCTGGTGACATGAAGAGAGAGGCCACGATCCTGGGGAGGTTAGCCTCTGGTTCCTCCCGGGAGATCTGTGTCATCCAGTTGTTCACTGTCCTGCGGAACTGTTGTTCACCCTTCTTGTCGTAGATAGGCCAGCAATCCCTGTATGTACAACATGATGATACAGTCAAAGTGAATCTTAAGTTGTTATAAGTTCCAGTATGTAAAAAGGTACTCAAAAGTTAGATATTGTTGTTAGGCCATGTTGATTTGATTATATGGATGACATCCTCCGGGAACCCCAAAATTGATGCGCGCGTGCGAATAAAAAAAAAGGTTTGCAAAAAAAAAAGTTGTTTTCATTATGAAATCTACGTGGTCAACAAATGGGACAGAATATGGTTTGGCGAATAATCTAGTCTTCAAGTTCATTTCTTTACAATTTCGTCTTTTTTCGTTTGATTTTGGCATTCTACGACATTGGTATGGTTTTTTTGTAACTTACGGTATATTTTTGCTTATTTTGAAACTGTTTTGTACGATTTACAGTATGGTTGAAAACTTTTTTTTTTTTAAAAGGTCGAAAATTCATGCGCGCGCGGATGTCATCCATATAATCAAATCAACATGGCCTTATCACAAACAAACAAACAAACACACACACAGCCACGAAAACATTCTTGGCAAAGGTAATTAAATCATTATTAAAAAATTATTATAATAAAACAAGTATACCTGAAGGCTTCCCTGGCCATGACAGGATCCAGCCTGTTGAACAGATAGTGGGTCACCACTTCAAACGCCTTCTTGTTGGGCAGAGCAAACATGTCTCTGAAATAAGAAAGAAGCAGTTAGTGAGTTACACAGACAGAGTTATAAGACATGGTCCTATGAATAGTGTTATGTATGGACCTGAACAGGGAACAGATATCAATGGAAAATTCTTTTATATGATTTTCTACTTACATGTATCTTAGTTCTTACTGTGCAAATAAATAAACAAACTAGAAAGGTAAGATTTGCAATTTAAGCAAATGCATAATGTTTACCTTCGCACATGGTCTGCTGTTAATTCTTACTCAAATACATCTACATATATATGGTCAGACTGGAGTCTAAATCCCTCCTACTATAAGATTGCAACATTATGTAACCCAACACCAGTCACCATGGTGACAGACATCAACAAATCATGTCATTGGTCAGGTCAGAGGTCACTGGGGAAGATGAAGAAGATGAAGAGGAAGAAACTGAGCAAAAACAATATGTTTTCTTTCGGTAAACATAACAAACAAACAAACAAACAAAAAGACAGACAAATCCCTTTGAACAGACGGGATGGTAGGACTTACCTGCTGAATGGTATTTTGTGCTTGGCCTCCATGGAGTTTGGATCGAACCCCAGCAGAAGCAGGTTGGTGAAGAACATCTCTCTCATGTCTATAGGGTCAGCCATGATGCCGGCTGGCCCTGGGCCCGAGGTGTGACTCAGGTTCATCATACTGTGTGGTCCTGCCATTATAATGGTTCAAAGGCTTGCTTCCTCTAGCTAATGTGAAACTGCAAAATGACATTCCCAACATGCTATAGGATTCATGTAAAAGACTTATGGTTCCGGGCCGGAGTTTAAATCTGACCAGAGTCTAAGTAAGTGCGCAGTAAGTCGCCGGAAACGTGACTTTGAATGGTATGTTTTGGCCGCGATATCCCTGAAATCGTAATATCTGTGTACATATATTTGTATTTTCGGAAAAGCCTGTTAGTTGTAGCCTTTATAGGTGGCGTAATGTTGGTGGTCCAGCGAAGACTTCCTGGCATTAGTCTGCGCGGATGATTATGTGGCGTTTTCGCCTGACCGCCGGGATGGTACATTCTATATGCGTTGTGGGTGTGTTCGGGCCATCGAAGATAGCGATTAACTTATCGCATCGATTTTGATTAAATTCAAATTTTGGAAACACTAGGTTCTGAGCTTCTTCGAGTACTAAGCCGTTACCCTGGGAAAATTCGTTTTTTCCATGCAGCCATGGTTAAAAATGACGAAAAAAATGACCCCTTATTTAAAAATGTACTTTGATGTGCCTTATTTACCCCTAAATAAATTGGGCGCAGAAAATATCAATGAAGTGTATTGATAAGCGGCACGGCACCCCTTTCCACTAAAAGAGTGAAAAATTCCGACCCACGTTTAGTACAGAAATGACAGCCCGTTGGGCTGAGGGTGTCAAATTGCTCGAAATACGGAAGGAAACTCCGGTCCGAGACCTTATAAATGTGCAAGACTAACGGTCATACATGTTGACCAATCAATCATGTGCAAGACTAAGTATTAAAGACCATACATGTCAATTAATCCATGATTCATTCGTGTACAGACTTATGGATGTGTAAGACTATGGGTCGTATATGTCAATTTGTAAAGGCAAGTGTTGTTTTTAACTTCTTTATTATTCATGCGACGTCATATATTCTGTTGCCAGTCTAATGATATACTGTAAGTCTCTTTAGATTCGCGGGGCCTAAAGTTCGCGGTTTCGGGAAAATGGACAATCCGCGGTATTTTTAGATTCGCGATTTCCCCTTGGCTATTCAAAGAAGAACTTGCAAAGTGCATACTAGTATTTAAAAATAAGAAAAGTTCGTGTCCCGGCATTTATCTCCTAAAATGCGGCGCAGAAATGTGTTTCGTGCTCCGCGCGAGGCTGCCTGCATGCTCTGTCGGTATGCAAATCTTGCATCACATGTCCGCGCTACGCGTCTCTGATTGGTTGTTGCGTCAGTGCCGGCGGTAAAGCTCGATCGATCTGACGCGCGTGTATTAAAACAATTTTCTTTGCCCAGAAATATGCGCTAAAACGTTATTTTCCACGACTACACATCGGTACTCAAGTGAAGAAATGCATAATCAAAAGAATCTTTAGGGAAAATATATATTCCTAAGCAAATTTTATGCCGTCTTCGGCGAGATTTTGTCGTTCAAACCGAACCCGGAAGTATGCAAAGGTCCCTTCGGTAGGCTCACGCTATCGTTTCTATCGAGCAAAATAAGGAAAAAAAAAACACCCGCAAAAGAGAACCAAATAACATTTCCCAGATACCATCAGTTATATTTTTCATCAAAATATTTGTAGATATGCCCGATGTGCCCGCAATTTTCGGGCGCCAGGCGCGCATGGCCAGCGCTAGCAAGATTTTTGTCGGGCGGTACGCGGTTAACACGGCCAGTGCCACAGTATCGCGATTCGGTGTCTCATAATGTTATTTTTGACATCAGTATGACTTACATAATTTTGATACTCAACAAACTGTACGTACATTTGCTTAGAATAAAGTTGATTTGGAGTGATTTGTGGATCGCGTGTGTTATCAGTTGTGTTAAATCGGTTAAACTTGAGGACTGTCGTGAACGCATGTAACAGTTAACACATTTACATTTACGCAAAACATATTCGCGGGGAAATAGATTCGCGGTACAGAGGTCCCTGCGAATTCCGCGAATCTAAATATACCGCGGAAATTTGCAGACTTACAGTATGATACAGACTTTACCCAGGTCTTTAATACAAGTTGGCCAGATAGTCTTGTCTCGATATAAATAAATATCACATAAATTCCGGGTTAACCAATTGTATGCCCGGAATTTATGTTATATTATTTCTAAGACTCCTCCAAAATACTGCGGATAATAGTTTTTCTGCAAATTTCTGTGAAAATATTCAGTGCGATCATGATCAAGCTGAATGCCCTTTTTAACCAAATATCTGATACCCTTATAAAACCGACAATGCCTTCAAGTTTTATGGATTTTTAAGTGCTGTTAAAATTATTTTTTTCGCCACATGTACCTTGAAAATTGACAAGAAAACTCACCAACTCCTTTAGTTTCCTTTTCAGCCGAGGGCAGCCATCTTGAAATGCCCCGCCAAGAATGAACTGACAAAGTCCCGGATGTTGGGTCAAAGGTGAACATGTGATTTTACGACACTGACACAAAACGGTCGGTTGCGTAAGAAGTGCACAAAATGGCGGCCGTTTCTGGATGTCGTCTGCTGTTTGGGAGGATTTCTTGGCTGAAGTTCTCGCCTCTTTCAAGTTCAAGTGCAAGGGGTATGTGTTAGAATAGAGGGACAGCATAAGTGTCAAATGATGTTGCAATTTGTTTTGGCTACAGGGTTCTCTGTTCGCTAGAATCCTTGTCTTACAGCCGTGATCGCGAAGCTGTTGTGTGATGACTTGTTATGAAACTTTGAATACATCATATTTATATTTAGCCTGAGGCTATTGACAGGATCGTCCTGTCAATAGCAGAAAATATTGCACTGCTGACAGGACGATCCTGTCAATAGCAGAAAATACTGCACTGCTGACAGGATGATCCTGTCAATAGCAGGAAATACTGCACTGCTGACAGGACGATCCTGTCAATAACAGGAAATACTGCACTGCTGACAGGACGATCCTGTCAGCAGTGCCATTTTTGACACTATTGACAGGATCGTCCTGTCAGCAGTGCCATTTTTGGCACTATTGACAGGATTTTTTAAAATCTTTCCATTTTGGGCTGTATTGACATGATTTCTTCATGTTTTAATTTTTTTAACCATGTTTTCATTTTTTTCAGTCAGAAGGCATATGCTACTGTACTGTAGATTAGGCGTTTCACGATGGCGGCTATCATCGCGTTAACAGCTAGTTATTATCATTACAGAGTACTCCAGCAGATACATGTCAAAACTAGACATGCTCAAAATATAAATACAGGCGAATTTCACGCATAAGCTGTCTGAAATACGAAGGCAGTTGTGTTTACATAGTTTTTCGAGTAAACAGGCGGGCAAACTTTTTGCGAGCTGTGATTGGCCAAAATCCCCCCCCCCGCCGACTCGATACGTCTG